TAAAATGTTTTGTGTCCTTAAGAAAAATATTGTGAAACCAAGCCAAAAACTGAGGTGATTCCATCCAGCCCTTTTTACTTGTTGTATAAGCAGCTCCATCAGGGCCACCCTGAACCTACTCACAATACAAATTTTTTCCCTTGTACACAACATAAGGTGGCAGTATCTGGTTGCTACTTTCGGATGGCGTTGCAAAAAGCCACACAACCAGTCCCTACTTGGTCGACCATTGATGAAAGGAACATCAATACCATTTTCTTTAACAAATTCCTGTATTATATCTTTTACCTCCCCTTTACTAAACCCCCAACCCCACTCAGCTAACACAATAAGGCAGTCTGCCAGTTTTTCTTCTTGCTTAGATGTTAAAACAGTTCGCTTCCCTGGATGAGAATTTACTTGTATTTCTCCTCGTACTCTTGTTAAAAGAGCCTTTTTATCAACTCCATAATGCATGGAAGCATGGTTGGCAGACATCTGCTTACATATGACGGAATTGTAGGCATCTATCATTGCTTGGCTAGTTGCATACGACTTTCTTCCTTGTTCCTCTCTCTTTTTGTATGTTCGAACCATTCTGCTAAATAAAGGGGCAATAAGCTCCATTAACAAAACTATATTTAAAACAGTATTGATCTATTTCTAAAAATAAATAACTTTTATTTTCAATTTAAACTATATCTGTGTAATGTTTTTGAAATTAAAACATTGATTTTATTTATCTGATCAATTTTATTTGGTTGTTTTAATCACCCTTTGGCATTTTGGGGGCATTAAGCCCCTGCTAATTAAAAAAATAATTTTTATAAACTAATTAAACTAATTAATAATCAAAAGAAATAAATTTCTTTTAGAAATGCTTTCTATTCAAAATATTTAATGGAATTTTAGTAATAAAGTGAATTTTAGAGCTATTTATAAACAATTTCTTAGACATTTATCTAACTGCCATTTTACTTTGTTAAAATTTTCCTTAATTTGCTCTAGAAATATTAGTATTTTAACTCATTGATTACATACACAGATAGTTTTAAAGATAAAAATAGTACTTACTAAGTTTATATTTACTTGTATTTTTAGTCAAAACGAACGCGCATTTATATGTACTTGTATTTGAAGTCAAAACAAATAGGCGCTATTTTAACGGAAGTTTTTCAACAAGTTAAAAGGAAACGGAAAACTAGATGGAAAAAGCACTCATCTATAAATTCTAATTAAATATCAATGCCGTTGGTTAGAAGCCCAATTATTGTTGAGAAAGGTTCCCTGATTGGTTAGTTAGTATCTATGATGTAAAATTTAATGTCCCTCTCTCTTAATACAATAACGTTTAACATTTTATTTTATCAACGGAGTAAATGGAGCTTAATGCCCCATGGGGCTTAATGCCCCGCTATACCCTATAGAGTTTTGCTCCATTTTTTATACATGGTTTTATACAAAATTTTGAAACATAAATAAAAAATAAAATTACTTATTTAGCTTATAGATACCGTACTCAATAATAGCATATTTTCCAGCGTTACGCTCAATCTTCATCTTTTCACTTAATTCGCGTCTTATTTTGTTAGTTTCAAATGAATAATCTTCATTAATAAAAACACCTGTACCTTTCAGATTCTTTACGTTTTCCAAAATTTTTTCTTTGTCTTTATAATTTAAGAATTTGAGTATGATTGTTCTGAGTTTATTCTTTATTTTCTCTGCGTTAAAGCGTCTTTCGATACATAATTTCAATAACGATACATACATTTCAATAATAATGTTACTTATTTTTAACTGATCATTAAATATTTGTTGAACTTTTTTTTCAGTTTGATTCCAAGTTTCTTTTTCATTTTCTCATACACCATCTATTCTAATATTGCTGCTTCTATTCCTATCTTCTAGTTTTCTAATTTTTTCTTGTAGTGCATCATTTATTTTGCTTGCTCCGTTCTGCGTTGTTTTTAGCTGTACGGTCTGATTTACAACTTTGGTAATTTCCGTATTTATTAACTTTTGAAGTTCTTTTTCGACATGTACGAGTTTTTCATTAATTAAGGTATCTTGAGTAAACTTTGAGATACTTTTTTGTAGATCGTCAATACATTTCTGCAAGCTTTGTTGCTTTATTTTAACTTTTGAAATACAATTTGTTATATTTTCTATTGAATGTAAAATTTTATCCATTTTTTTATTTATTTATAAAAATACGCTAATTTAAAAATGTGCGTCCGTTCACTACGAAAGCCATTATATATGAATATATATATATATATATATATATATATATATATATATATATATATATATATATATATATATATATATATATATATATATATATATATTAAAGATATTAAAAAAATATATAAATTGTATTTATATTGCAAAAATTGTAATCTGTAGGAGTAATTAAAAGAGGTTTTAGGAGTAATTAAAAGAGGTTTTTTTACTAAATATGAAACATAATCATTTTATATAATTAAAAAAAAACAACAACAAAGGTATGTTAGTTAAAAATAACAAAGTTGTTTTTAACTAACATACTAAGTTTTAAAGTAAATCGACATATTATATATGTAAAAAAGTAAATCTATATAATATAAAAGTTAAATATAAATCGACATAAAGTCGATTTACTTTTTAAAGTTAATCGGCATATTATAGTTTTAAAGTATATCGACAACTATTTTTACCATACCTTTGTTGTTAAAAACAACAAAGGTATAGTAAAAGTAGATTGTCTATTTTAAAACAGACCGTTAGTTTTCACGTTTTAGATACTCCAACATCAATCAGGATTGTTTAGAAAGCAAAATCAAAGAATTGAAGGAAACTGACTCCTCTGTAAATATTTCCGACCTAAAGAACGGAGTAACAATGCTGAGCTATTGTTTGTATACCAAGCATTTTGGCAACGGCATTTTTGTATGCGCACCAAAAGGTTTATGGTACAAATTTCAGTTTAAGAAATTGGCCAGAAAAGTGACGCATTGTATTTTCTATTCTATATATAGTCATTTCATCTGAAAACTTTCCTAGAAAATGTTTACATGGAAAAAAACAGAGTTCCAATGAATCGCTAAATCAAACTATATGAGTTCAAAATATTTACATGTTGAAAGAACTGAGTATTAAAGTATGATCAGCTGTTCTACAATTGGACAAAAATTTTTAAATAACATTTTTAATGTGTTTGGAATGACGTCTAATAATAATAGGCAAATTTGTAGTTTACGCAAACACAAAAAAAGTCTCGGAAGCAGAAAAGCGATGTAACCTTAAAAGAGAATCATAAAAAAAATGCCAAAACTAATAAAAAATATTTTTTATGATCAAAATAAAACATTAGTTGGTGTAATGCAAAAAAGTGAAGAACTTTGAACGTTTGTATACTTTTTTTTTAATTGCATTTTTATCAAAATCTTGTTTTTTAGGCTGGCTACGGAGATATTTTCAAAATTAATTACCAAGTTGATTAGAAATTTGGCTCATTTATTGTATTTACAACACAGAGGAATAACCTTAACTGCTTTTTACCTTTAGTATTTTTTAAAAGATTTTCTGTCCTTAACCACCCCATTTTACAAAAGTGCTAATATTTTATCGAGTTTTTGACCTAACTCAATAAGTCCACGACATAATCACAATTATGAACGGTTGCTGAAAAGTCTTCGTAACCCTTTTTTTTCATCATTTTTTAACTTTTAATGATCACATCATTTTTTAACTTTTAATGATTAATAAATAATAATAACAAAGTTTTAAATTTTTTTAGCTTTCTAATAGTGTATAATAAAGTTTAAAGAAGAAAAAAAAAAACATTTGTAAAAGTTGAGTACAACTTTTTTTCTAATTACTCTACTCCAACCTTAATTCGTCCTTAGGCAGAAGGTGTACGCGCACATAAGTCGACCTAATTTTTTTGTACTTTGCTTCATATATTTGCTCAGTTAAACAAAACGAAGCTCAAAGCATTTTTTTTAAAAATAAGATTTCTTAAATTCAGCATTAAAGTTGTTGTACAGTACAGGATACTTCTGGACGTCCTGCATAAAGCTTTTTTTACTAATTTTTTTAGTAACTTTTTTTTTATTTTTATTTTGATTACTTTATATTCAATTAATCGCAATGCAGTGTCGTGCAACATTTCTCGTTAGTAGAGATAAAATTCTTCATTCCGGAATTCCGGCTGACTTTATTTTTTAAGAAATGTGGCACAGACTGTATAAATTAGATCCTAAAATCATTGTCCTACAGGGCAATCAAGGACTCTAGATAAACCTAGATATAAAATACAAATTTATAAACGAAAACAATATATTTTTATTTACAAAATTAATTATGTAAGGAATCCTGGAAGTTTAGGGATATTGTGGTGGAAAGAGTGCTTCATAGAAAAAAAAAAAAATTAATGTTACTTAAATCTAAATAGTTAAAAAAATAGGATGCCTATAACAGTAAATATTTCAATTTTAACCTAAATTGAATAATAGAAAATAATGTAATAATTTTAAATATAAATATTATGCAGGCTAAAGTTTTAATACATAAAAATATAAAAACAACATATTAGATTTAAATGAAACAAGAGTCAAACTTATGAATTAGATTTTATATATATATATATATATATATATATATATATATATATATATATATATATATATATATATATATATATATATATATATATATATATATATATATATATATTATAGGTTTTAAATATATATTAAACAGCCACGATACTGAGATGCAGGCTTTCACTTTAATTTTGAAGATAAAAATTAACATAAATATGAATCTTATTCCGGCCGGAATTCAAAAAACCGGCGAATCAATAATCTTGTATTTTTTTTTCAACCATTCAAGTTTTCTATTTTGAAATGTTTAATTAATTTATGAACACATATAAAATTGCAAATAAATTTATAAAAAATACTCTAATTTAGTACTCTCTATTATACGATAATTTAAATTATAATAATAAATTATAATGATAAAATAAATTGTTTAAGAAAGCTATAAATTTATTTTATAAACGCCATGTATTATTACATTTCAATAAATATTGTGCCCGACTCCTGTAGCATATTATTATTATTACTATTATTATAATTTTTGTATTAAAGAATCATTCTATTTTGCATGTGTCATCAATTGAAATTGTGATATCTATCGTGTCATTTCGGATAACTGTCGTTAAAACTATGCTTGTGTCATCTAGGATATTCGTATGTCTTTGGAATAAATGACATATAGTTCGGATTGTAAATAATTGATCTAACAAGTTTTCGCTTGTCGCTTGGCTCTGGAATCATAGTAGCAATACCTTGTTTGTATGCGATATCAGCAACTTTAAGTGCAATTTCAAAAGAGACCTCTTTGATTTTCCGCAATGGTGGATACAAGCGACCTTCAGCGATATCTTCATCTGTTACTTGCTCAGACAAGGACTAAAAGCAGTAACAACAAAATAATTTTTTTTAACAATTTAACTATTTTACATCAGACAATTTTATAAATAATTTTTCTCTCAGGTGCCTAATACTAGGTAGGTAAGGGTAGGTGGGCTAATTTTGTCTAGATTTAAAAAAGTTGGGGGAGGGGGTAATAAAAAAAATTGAATATTTTTTAAACCTAAAAAACGGGAGTTGTATTGATATAAAAATGCGTGGCTTGTGGCCAAAAATTATATTTTATAACAGCTGTTTTGACATAATTTCAATATTAATAATACACTTATATAAGTTTATATAGGTTTTATGCTATATTAGACAAATAATAAAATATTTTTAAACACCTGGGCAGCAGCTAAAAACATTTCTTCAGTGATAATTCTTGATCCGCTAGCAATTACTCCTAATGCTAAACCTGGGAAGATATAAACATTGTTTCCTTGACCTGGATAAACAACTTGTCCATCTTTTAAAGTTACTGGTTCAAATGGACTGCCACTTGCAAATAAACATTTACCCTATACAACAAAATTTAATGTTCAAGTAACTATAATAATACGCATTAAGTAAACGTACACTACCGTTCATAATTATTCGAATGACGTTATATTATTATATTATTCGCAATATTAGATGATTTAAAAAACATAAAAGTATTTTGATAAAAATGCTTAAGTGGGCAAATCTACATAAAAAATGGACCATCAATGTCTATAAATGTCATGTTAAATTTTTAAATTTGGTTTCAAAACAAAATTATTGTTTTGAAAAAAAATTCGTTGAGTGTATAATAAAAGAGTGTGTATTATTAGCAGTAAATTATGACGGATGTAGTGTTAAGGTATTGGGTTGTTTTGTTTACACAAAAGATTTTTTTTATTACTTCCTCTACTTTGACTATGTGAACTGTGGTTTCGAGTCCCACAGTTCACATAGTCAAAGTAGAGGGAGTAATAACAAAAATAGTTTACTGGGACACTTAAAAACTATTCCTATTATATTCCTATATAAAAGCTATTCCTTTGGAAAGTTATGTTAATGGGAAGCCATTTATTTATTTAAAAAAAATGACTTGAAGCTTAAATCCAAAACAAATTCTCCAATACATTGTATAAATTATTTGACTGAGTTCGAGAATGATCAAATATTGAATGGAATGATTTAATCTCCCCAATTACAAGATCTCTCTCCTATTAGATTTTTATGGGAGGAATTGAAAGTTATGTCAAATGCCTTATAATACGTAAGATGTGAAAAAAACTTATTAGTTTATGGCATAAAATTAACTTTAACAATTTGGATAAATCGTTAAATAGAATGCCAAGAATGTGTATGGCGAATATGTTACTGTTCCAAAGAGTGATTTTTAGGTTTTCCAGGAGCCAGTGTATTCCTGCATAAATAAAAAAAGTCTAAAAAAAAATATCCCCTTGTTACGGATTATTTACAGCTCAACAGAATTCAATTTAAAAATATATTGTTAGAGTGCATTTCTTTATAATTTCTTTAACAAGCGAGTGATTTTTACTTTATTTATTATTTATCTATATTAAATTTATTTATTATCATTTCATTATTGCTACTTTTAATGTTATTATTATATTTAATTATTATCTATGACATGTACATACAATTTATATTGTATTATAAATATTCTTAATATTATTGATACTTTATTATTATTTTGTATTACTTTTCTTTTTTTTTCTCTTATTTATATTTATGTATACACATTTTTTTTTGTTGTTGTTGCTTATCGTTTCTTTTTTTTCTTTTTTTTTTATATATATATATTTCTTATTTCTTATTTTTTTTTTATTTCTTTATTTTTTTTGAGAATTTTATATTTTCTAGATGTCACTCCATTGACTAGTTTGTAACTATATGAGTGACACCTAACCAAATTCTATTAATTTACGATGAGATTTGTAAATTTTTATTGATATGGTTGAATAAAAAAAAAATAAAAAAATAGGCAAGTAAATTGTAAACTTATTTAACGGGACTTGAAATTAATTTTTTTGTAAACCTTATAAATAGGAAGATAACATATAGTTCAGGTAGACTTTGCTTTTAATTTTTCTCCCAATATTAAGTAAAACCTTGATATCTTATATATAAAAAGTACAATCATTCGAATAATTATGGACAGTAGTGTATATAAAATTTTTTAGTAGAAAACGTTGCAGCATATTTGCATTAGACAAAAAAACAAAAAATAAAAGAATAAACAATTTATATAACAAAAATAAAATATTAAACTTTATTTGGGAACATTCTGAAAATTTTGGAGCTTTTGTCATAATAATTAAGAAACCAATCTTAAACAATCCGAAATTTTGTATTTAGCATTAATCTTAGATACTCCTAAAAAATTAAAGTTAAGTAAAATAAATAAAAAGAAAAACAATTTAAATTTTTAGCTCTTCTTTCCAATAGGACAATTCCTATTGAAAATTAGAGCTACTAAGTCAAAAAAACTCAATTGAATTTTTCTTATCTTATTTCTTAGCGGCATATAAAGTCAAACATGTATTGATGAAAACACTAGCCTTGAATAATTGAGTAGACTTCCATATTGAATTTAATAAGATAAGTATAAGATAAACCATATTTCACATAATAATGTGAAATATGGTTCACATATTTCAAGCAAGAAGCAATTTAAATAATTGCTTCTTACTTAGATGAGCTTTGTTTTATAGAATTTTAATGATTTAGATATATAAAGTTCATTTTAAGAAGTTGCAATTGACAAAATTTTCATATATATCAGTGTACTATAGAAAAATATTTTATATGGTAATATCGTACTCTGTATTAAGTGATGTGTGAAATTTCCTACTAAATTATATAACTAGTTATGTGCTATGTTATAGGTTGGTACAGGGGAGAAAAAAGAGACACGAAGTTTGCTATCCCATAAATTTGACAACAATAGATGGACAACTCAAGCAACTGCTTATTCTGCTTATTTTAAAAATTCCAAAAATTTTCGATGCTTATTTTATTAAATTCAATATGGAAGTCTACTCAATTATTCAAGGCAAGTGTTTTCATCAATACTTATTTGACTTTATATGCCTCTATCAGTATTACAAAAACATAATCCAAGACTAAATTTAGGGGCTATTTTATGAAAGAGAATATAAACTTTTTTAAATGCTAAAACTATTTTTTCAACTTTAACAAAAACTTAGTAAAAACAAGGAACAACAAAACAGCAAGGAACTTTTTGCGTAATTTCATTTCTCACATGACATTATCACCAAAATCAAAATCAATGTAAAGATTGTTTGTTATTGCAAAACAAGCCAACCTTTTTTAATGAAATTCATTCAGAAAAATGCTTCAAAACATTCAAATATTTTCAATATGTGAATGTTTTGAAACAAAAAAAAAAATAAAAATTCTTTTAACAAAAATAACAATAATAATAATTTTAATAATGAAAATAACTGTAAAAATAAAAATAATAACAATAAAAACAAGATGTTAACATACATTAGTCCAGGTAATAGCTTGTTCAGCTGTACATTCAGCATGAGTAGTTGGATTACTTAGTGCAAAAATAACTGGTTTGTCACAATTCAAAAGCATCTGCTTACAAACAGTTTCTGTAAAAGCTCTTCCAGAACCAGCAACACCTAAAAAATATATTTAAAAAATGTATTAGGACATATTTTCTTTAAAATCTTTTTTTATTTTTGACATGGTAGGTGTTAAAAAGTAGTTTATTTTTAAGCAAAATAAATGCAAACGTTTTTAAAGAGTTTAATTTTACAAGTTCCAGTTTTCTTTATATATGGGTATTATCATAAATCCATAGACTTTAATCTATATCTAGCTGTAATTCCTTATGAGTCCCAAATAACATATAAGAAAAAATGCAACATTGTAATAGAAAATGAAGATGTTTGACACAATTTCTAAAACATGGTCAAGCTGTTTACAATATATTATGAAGCAGTGTATGATGTATATTAAAGCTGTGTATGATGTATTATGAAGCTATGTACAATGTATTATGAAGCTGTGTACGATGTATTAGGAAGCAGTATATATTATGAAATATATTATGTCTAATATATATATATATATATATATATATATATATATATATATATATATATATATATATATATATATATATATATATATATATATATATATATATATATATATATATATATATATATATATATATATATATTTATATTTATATATATATATATTAAACGGTTGTGTCAAGAGCAATGGCTTTTGACACAATATAAATAATAATTTTACTAACATAAAAAACAAACACTTGAATATCTTGATGACCTAATAACAATATTAGGTCATCAAGATATTGCCTGATTGAATGATAATGGATGATTTCCAACACATTTTAAAAATCAATGTTTTTCATTTAAACTCATAATTGTTAGGAAAAAAAACAACAACAAAATATTCAAAAGCCTAAATTTATTTCTCCCTATTCAAGTATGATCACGCAACCATTTGTTACACTAAAAGCAAATTTTTTTGATGCAGAAAGGTAAAGATAATAAAATGGCAAAACTATCAATTTAAGTTTCATCAAAACATTGACATTTTTAATTTGGTTATATTGCAGAAGTTTATATTGCAAAATTTTAATGATTTTGATCTTTTTTAAATAGAAGTAGAAAAAATAGAAATAATAGAAGTTAAATAGAAAAAATAGAAGTTTCAATTTTCACATAAAAATTTCATGTTATAAAAAAAAGTTACCTATTATAGCAGTGGGTTTAAGATATTTAACAACATGCTCAAAACTATTCGAAAACTCTGCATCATGAGCAAATAGTGCTCTTTCAGGAGTTAATTCACCAACAGATCGATTCTAAATTTGAAAAAGATGAAATAATAAATAATTAAAAATAAATATTCTAAACAAATCATAATAAAAGCAATAATAAATACACTATGAGTATATATATATATATATATATATATATATATATATATATATATATATATAATATATATATATATATATATATATATATATATATATATTTATAAATATAAATTTTTTTATAAATGATAAACACTATTTGGCATCAAAATATGCAAATAAACAACACCATATAATCGTTGCATTGATATTAAGTGATATTTGAATTTTATGTAAATAAATTGTAATGAAAAAGTCACTACTGAACAATATTTAAACATCTAAGTGAAAATCTTTAAGTGAAAAGCAAATCTTTAAGTGAAAATCTTCAAGTGAAAAACAAATCCGTGTAAGTAAAATGTTTTAAGTAATAAATTGCATAAATACCAACATGCATAAAAATATTGAAAGAATCCATAATGTAAATTAACTAATGCATAAAAAAAAAAAATTGAACATATTATTACAAAAGACATGCATAAACTTACAATATGAAGTGATTTATTTATAGATTGTTTTTAATATTGTTTTTAGTATTGTTTTTATTCATATAGTACATCCTTATATTTTTCTTTTATTAAGTTCACTGAGAATAGGATAAAATTATTTGAGTCTATCCATGTTTAAAAACTATTGCCATATTTGAATATTTATAAAAATAAAAACCTAAATTTTTGGTAGCTTCTTCTTTTAACAAAAACAATTTTAATTATTAGTTGCTTCTTTTTTCATGTCATGCTATTTGCCACATGTAAGCACATATCATGTGTAATGTATGTACATGCCAAGTTAGTAAGCAAACTAATTAAAACTAATTTATTTTCACATCAAAGTATGGATTATAAAAAAGTTGTTTCATACCTTAGTGACTAATCCATCTTTATCAAACATATAAATGTGTTTTACTGCTTCTTCTTTTGATAACCCTTCATTTATCAAAGCTTTCACTAATAATTGTGCAATTCCACAAGCAGCCTGAAAAACATTAAACTATTATTATATATTACAATATATATATTACTATATAACTTTTTGATTTATTTTTATTAAAACTTTTTATTTTAATGCTTTTTTAACTATTATGAAATAGTTAATTTTTTAAGTAATATTATTTGTCTATACTTTTATATTTGAATTTTTTTAACCACAAAAAAAAAAGGTTAACTAAGTTTAAATTAAATTATTGATAATATAATAGAACAATTATAATAATTAACATAAACTAATATAAAGATCATACACCACCAGCACCAAAAAAGAGAAACTTGTGATCAGGTAATTTCATATGGCTTGCTTTTAAGCTCGCCAACAAACCTCCAAGAGCTACAGCTGCTGTGCCTGAAACATTTCAAATATTATTCTTAATTCTCGCTTATTCTCTAAATCAATCTTTATTAATAGATGAAATATTCTCAACTATTTTTACAATACAATGACATTTGCAATATATATGAAGTTAATTGCAAATATGCAAATATAATATATTTTGCAAACTAATGGAATTATGTAACAATCACATCATCAGCTGATTAATCACATTCATATTCACAGAAACAACAACAATCAAAAGCAACAATATTATACCTTGAATATCATCATTAAAAGTACACATTTTGTGTCTGTAGCGTTCCAAAAGACGAAATGAATTGTGGCTTCCAAAATCTTCATATTGAATTAAAACATTTGGTCCAAACCTTATTAAAAAATAAACAAATATATAAAACAAATATATTTCAATAAATTTATTAGGTTAACAAATTTATTAGGTTAATAAATTTATTAGGTTTCAAAGTTTAATTTGTTTTGTGTTATTTTCATATTTAAAATGCTGAGCAAAAAATCATTTATTTAGAAACATAAAAATAAAATTAAAAAAAAACAAAACAACCTTTGGCGCAAAGCTTGTATAATTTCGTCAATCAACTGATCATAAAGCTTTGTGTTGTTCCTTTTTTGTCTTAAACCAATATAGAGTGGGTCATCCAAAAGTTTCTATCATACAATATAATTAGTTAATTTAATCTATTTAAATTTTGAAAATCTCTCTCTCTTTCTCTTTATATATATATATATATATATATATATATATATATATATATATATATATATATATATATATATATATATATATATATATATATATATATATATATATATATATATATATATATATATATATATATATATATATATATATATATATATATATATATATATATATATATATATATATATATATATATATATATATATATATATATATATATATATATATATATATATATATATATATATATATATATATATATGTATGTATATATATATATATATATATATATATATATATATATATATATATATATATGTATTATTTTTATTGAGTTGTGTTGTATTCTATTGGATTTAATACAGCTCTTTGTCGGTTTAAGAGTGATCGTTATTTATAAAATAGATCAGAATTTATTTAATATTTAAATGAAAAAAATACAACTTTTTTACCAATTCACTTTTTTTATTTTTTCACTGAACTTTCTAAAGAGATCTGGAAACTTAAGGAACCAGGCATTAAACCAATAATCAAGTGGAGTATTGTTAAAAAATGTGAACCCTATAACCCATCCTCAAAAAGGTGTAATCTTTGCATAAATGAGAAATATTTTATTTCAACATACAATAAAGAACCTTTGTTAAATAAAAAAAGTGAATTAATTTCAGCATGTAGACACAGAAAAAAGTTTTTGCTATCAAATTTCGACACCAGTTAAATAAACTACCGTTTGGCGTGAAAACTGAGGTTTGATCTCATTGCAACGCAATTTTGTATTTTTTATAACGGTTTTTATTTTAATGATTTTAAATATATGGCTGAATGATTGCCGAATGGCATGAAACTTGAAGTCCCATAAAAAAGTCGAATTTTTTTCTTTTAAGTATTTAATATATATATAAGGGTGACCTTTAAAACAACTTTTTTGGGAAAAACCTGCTCCTACCCCCTAAATGTGTTTATCTAATACAAAAACACTAGGTTTGAAATTTTTTTGAATAAAAAACATTTTAAGGGGTCCCTTAAAACCCTCAAATATTTAATGGGTACCTATATTTTCAAAAAAAAAGTTTTTCAAAAATATGTCAACCTGGTACTCATGAAGTGAAATTATACAAAAATTTCAAAAATAATATTCATTTGAAAAAAAATTGTTATTTTTGGTTTTATTACTTAAAAAATTACTTTTTTTAACAAAAAATGAAAAAAAAATAAAATAAAATTGATAAATAAGTTAAAATTTTTTTAAAATGAATATAATTTTTGAAATTTTTATATAATTTCGCTTCATTTGAGTACCAGGTTGACATATTTTTGAGAGGAGATTTGCTAACTTACCACAACCCGGGGTAAGTATGCACAAACTATAAAAATGATCAATAATATATTACTATGTGGAAAACGAATACAAATGTTTTACAAGTTGTTTTGAAGCTTAAAATTTTATATTACTTTTTTTTTTATAAAAATTATAATTTTTTTTTTATAAAAAAATAAAAATGGACTAGAAAATAGGAACTATTATTATTACCAATTGGAAATATTATTGAGACTGGAATGCTTACAATAATTATTTTTTTCATATAACTCGGGCTTGGACAGGATTGGCCTGCAATTGCACACTGTAACTGATAACGCTTACAATTTTTTTTCTTTACAACTTAACCATGGCTGTTTTGATGTTTAGACAAATTAAATGCAATAAAAAAATTGCTACATTAAGAATAACTTTTAATCATTGATCTTTTCTAAAGTTTTATTTTAGGCGAAGGCTTTAAATAAAAAAAAAATAATGATTGTTTAAAATAAATGCATTTTGAGTAAATTAACAAAATATTAAAATGCTTATTTATTAAACAATCAATTGAAGCAATTTGTAAAAGCATTTTGTGTAACTTTAATTAAATGTTTTAAAAGATAAATTTTAAAGTAATTTTTTTCTGCTTTTCGAAAAGAATTGTTTTATTGCTTATTCTTTAGTTTTTTCATATTTTTTCCTGGTTAAAGTTTAGCTTAACGTTTTTTGTTTTTTTTAAACTTTTTAAATGTTTAAATCTTCAAAACATCAAAACAGTTGCGGTCAAGTTGTAACCCAAAAAAGTCATTTGCATGGTCAGCATAGCGTTCAATTGCACGCCATTCCTGTCCAAGCTTTATTTTGTAGAATTTAATTCCTGTTGGTCAAAATGTCCGATTACTTTGTAAATTGATCAGACAATCTGAGGTTTTAACCAGACAATGTCTGATGTCCGACTGTTAAGCTGAGATCTGTACAGGGGTGGCGCCGGCATTCTTTGGTCTTCAAGATATCTAACTTCCAGACATAAAAAAAATTCCAAACACTCATATGTTTATACTTATGTCAAATAAGGATGCTTTGCAAAAAATTGCGATGATTGGAACCTGGGAACAAAAAAGCCCCAAAAGCGTGGCATGTGATTCAGCGCTATTGCTGACCATACACATGATTTTTTTTTTTGACCACTTAATTAGATGTTTTTAAATGATTTTAGAAATGTGTTGAAAAAAAACCGCTAAGCTAAACTTAAACTAGGAAAAAAATTTAAAAGAAGAAATTAAAGAAAAAAGAAAACAATTCCTAATGAAAATACATAAGCACTAAAATAAAACTCAAAAAGTTTAAACTCGAAGAAAATATTAATTTTAGTTACATTTTTATTTGCATTTGAAACATTTAATTAAAGTTACGCAAAATGCTTTTACAAATTACTTCTAAATATTGTTTAATGAATGAATAAATTCTATTTAAATTGTTAAAAAGTGTTACATATATTATTTTTAAATTGATAAGCATTTATTGTTTCTAAAAAGGTTTTAAACAATTCTTTGTAAAAATTAAAAAAAAATAAAGCAACTAAATCATGGGAAGACTTAACTTATTCATAATTTAAAATAAATTAAAAAATATTTTTTAGAAGATTTTTAGAAAGGAAAAATAGTTTCAAAGGTTTAAATTTATCATAAAAAATACATAATAAAAAAATATCTACTAAAAAAAAATTTAAGTATAACATTTCATTTACACATAATGCGTTTATTATAATTAATTTTTGATTTTATTTATAAGCCTTGGCATAAAATAAAAACTTTAAAAAAGATCAATGATTAAAAGTTATTTTTAACATAGCGATTCTTTTTATTGTTTAATTTTAATTGTAAAACAACCGTACCTTGTTCTGTTATGACCTAGATTTTGAAAATATTCTGTCAATATCTAAAAAAATAAAAGAGGGTTAAACAAGCTGGTTCAAAATTTTTCGTGTTTAAGATTTTTCAGAAATCATTGCTTTCATAAAATTTGTAATTACTATACTAATGCAAAATAAGAATGTTTTAGATAAAATTGCGACAATTGGAGACTGAAAACAATATTAAACCTAAAATGTGGTTCCTCATGTCCCATATATGGTTTTAATATAAATTTTTTTTTTCTTCATAATATCTTTGACTAGATTAAAATTAATTGACAGATTTAAAATTTCATACAAAAATCTCTTCTAGTTAAAAAGTTATTGTTTTTAGCTTTTTATTCCCCAATTAACTCCAAAACATAACTTTAAAAGGTCACAACTTTTAAATGGCATATTTTTTTTGAATGATATTTAAAATTTGTCGATAAACTTTGATTCTAATAAATATGAAAAGAAAAAAATGACAAGAGTTATATGTAACAACAGCCTTATGCAATCTTTTCAAACAATTTTTGTGACATTTGTAAAGTAAAATTATGATGAAAGTAAAATTATGATGAAATTGTAAAGTAAAATTATGAAAAGTAAAATTATGTAAAGTAAAATTATGAAATTGTAAAGTAAAATTATGATGAAAAATTCCAAGGTTTGCTCCTTTGTGGATAATTACTTTAAGGAATTTTCAAAATATTCTTCTGTATGTTTTACCAAAGCGTGTTTATAAAATGTTACATTTTTTACTTATACTAATTTACTACAAATTAAAACTACTGTTTTAATTTGTATCACGTCAATTTAAATAACCCTCAAAATTATTCTTTATTGCTAAAATATTTGAATTGGTTAACTAAAAACCACTTTAAGTTTTAATGAGTTTTGATTTTTATGCATTAATGTAATTTGTGTTTTGTTACATATTGCATTTGTAATATTGTTAGTTGTGCTTTGAAAAAAATGGAATTTGTGGAAAATTGTTGAACTAATACAGTGAAAAATGAAGGTAACACTAATATAGTTTTATGTAAACCATTTGATTTCTCTAAGATCAAAGAAACTATTCTTACTGGAAACCAAGAGTTTTGCCTATGTGATATTTTCTTACTGCTAGGAATAATTTAGTATGTGGCTCAAATATAAAAAAAGCAGGAAGACTAAAACTCAACATAAAAGTTTTACTCCTGGACCAGTTAAAGTTTGTAAAAGATGTTTTAATGTTATTTCGCCAGGATTAGGACACACCTATTGTATTACAAAGAGAAGGGAAAACTTAATGAAGCAACTAGATGAAGGTAAAAAAATAATAATTTTATTATTAAGTTCCTATTAAAAATAATTATAACAATTTCAAAGTAATAAAAATTTTATATTATAGATTTTTATATAGACAATAGAAGTGCAAAAATAATTTTGGAAAATTGCAATAGAATTGCAATGTTTCAAAACACTTAATAAAAAGTTTGAAAAACAAGGCAATTTAATTTAGGTTGTGACATGCAGAACTTCAATTAGTATACAAAGACCAAAAACTTCTTCTAAAGCTTTGTTTACTGATTCACCGATACATACAAGTGAAATAAACAAACTAAAATATGTATGTGGCCTCAGTAACACACAAGATGCTAAAGTTTTAAGTATTTTTAGAAATCGGAAAGGTCACAAATCATTTGAAAAAAATACAAGAAACAAACTGATTGAATATGACATTATTTTAAATGAATATTATGACATAAGAT